TGTGGGCGTCTTAACCAGCTCGACCACTGGGGCTGTAGGTAATATTGTTCGCAATAACATATATAAACTTTGGCCTAGAGAGCGTTTACAAAGTTTATATATGTTATTGCGAACAATATTACCTACAGCCCCAGTGGTCGAGCTGGTTAAGACGCCCACACGGATTGAGGGAGGTCCCAGGTTCGAATCCTGGCTGGGGTAATATTTTTCGCAATAAGAATTTTATTAAAGGGGGGAAGGGAAGAAGGGGGTTATCATATTAGATGCTACTGTGTAGCTTTATTAAAATAATTTATAAACGTGAATTCACTGACGATAACATTTCCACTTACGGGGATTAACCGGTGTTTTAAGACTAGTATGTAACTGGCGCACAGGATAAGTTGGAAAAGAATACGGTATAAGAATTCACTTAAATAATTTAATTTAACTGGCTACTTACACCTATGCCCGGTCCTAAACGGCCTCTTTAATTTCTAATTGATTTCATATCATAAAGGACCTATGTTAAAATTGTAGTAATTTCATTTAATTAAATATATTAATTCATATTAATTGCTGTATATGTATATTTGTGTATGTAATAGATACAATGCACAGTGGTACACTGCGCCATTATGTATGCAAAAATTAATAATACTCATAATACAAAGAAGTAACAAACAGAGTGTTTTGACAATTGGAGCTTTATTTAACGTGTCGTTAGAAGGTTTTGCTACGGTAAGGACTATTACGGGTAATTCAATTTTGATGAGTCCAATGACAGAAAGAGATTTTAAATATTTATTAATCATAATATTTATAGCTTCTAAGTATGTCCATATCCTACGTTATGGTTCTTCAATCTATGGGAACACACACCGAAAGCAAAAAGAAGTAATAATTACGTTGTAGGTATCCGAGTCGTAGGTCTAGGATATGTAGAGTACATTTTACATGTACTATTCCACATATTCATTAATAAATTAAATCAAACTAAATAATAATACAATGCATTTTTTAAATTATTGCTATTGTGTCATAGATTAAGACATATTTTTGGATTACTTTTTATCTTCCTTTTCCATTATTGACAATAATATCAATTAAACATATCTTTCTAATATAATTTCCCTTTTTCGGTGCACATATTTAATATAATTTACTTTTATATTTCTTCAATATAACATAATATGATAAAGCACTAAATATATAATATAATACATAAAACTTAATGTCACCTTCATGATTCAACATTTCAATGTCAATCCTGAGCGCAAATAAAGGCTCACTAGGAAATCCTTGAGGAAAACTCAACAAGGCAACTGAATGGGAAGAAGGTATCTCAGAAGAGGAACAACAACTTCCTGAGAAATGGTGCCCAATCAGGGTTACTCTAACCAAACCTCACATTTCTTATAGAGAGCGAAAGCTCGACTAACATTTTTGCGAAGCGTCTTCGGATACGGTACATAAATCCACAAAAAAATTAATCCTTTCAAAACATTAGTCGTCTTCTTTCCGAGTGAACTTGCGGAACCGGAGATCTGACAAATTGGTGACCTCGACGTGATAGAAATACGCAACCTTATGGAGTCAATCATCTCTTACAAGTAATTCGTATGTACTTCTTTGAGTATAAGGACTCCCTATGTCACTGTGCGGCGTTCGGGTGCGAATTTACGCATGAATTACGCCACAAACGACAGACATACGTACGTGCGTGAGTGCACTACACCCCTACGTGCGTCACGCACAGTTTCTCACACTTTCGCCGTACTCTATAAGCGTCTTTGACAATATTCCCCACGCGCATCGATATGTCTTTCAGCTGAAAGATGAAATTCTTCTAATTAGACGAATTGTTACACAACATCTATCGCGTTAACAGGAATAATAAAAGTACAACGTCTACCGACTGTAGAAGTAATGGAAATGTGCACTGCTGTGTGTGAACACACATTGGAAAGGTAATCAATATGTTTACTTCTTTATACACGCACAATGAAAAATGTAATAATCTGCACTCTCCACAATTATGCAAAACGTTCGTTGCATTACTGCACTGTTATATCCAACTTTTTAAATTCATCAATAGACATGAAATATGAAAAGTGTTGCTATTGTACGTATGTATGTATATTGTAAAGACGTTCTATGAACTACACTAGAACGGAGTCGACGCGTGTAATAATAAAGTGGTGAGCAGGTACAATAGTGACGGTTACCATAGTAATAAATGGGGGCACACCGGCATACAGGCACTAAGACGCACCACTTAGTAATTTTTCGACGAGAAAAATAACGGGCTAACAATAAGACCAGAATTCGAACCGGGGGACCTTCCGCTTACCGGGCGAATGTTCTTCCAACTGAATTATCCAGGCTCACAGGTTACCCGTACAGTTACCCGTAAAACATGGTGTTTGACATAAAAACACATCTATTTCTAAGGAAAAAATATACGATGTATTTTGCTAATTTTGATAATACCATTTTTATTGACTTATTCGTTTTATAGTCGAGGCGGGAGAAAATCGAGGAAACTTATTCTCTCTATTTACTATATACACCTATTTTCTCCTTACCGGTGCTTCATGAATTTCATACACCTGCTATTTACCCCACGGTAAACTAAGTGTCACTTTTACAATTATCTTATGAGTCTAAGAAAGAAAAATTTATCGTCTATCTAAATTCGATACATGGAGGGGGAAATACAATTTTGCAACGTTATTCCTGACATACGCATTTCAGCTTTCGTGGAAGATGGACTTCGCTGGAGAACGGTATTATAAGCTGAATAGAATTCTTCTGTTATCTCTCGGTCTGTGGCCTTATCAAATTTCAACTTTCAAGAAAGTACAAATAATCTTTTTCCAAACGTTATCCATATCCTTTCTAATATGTCAGGTATTAAATTTCTTATTCCACGTGTATTTTATTTATTTAAATGAATGTTTATGTCAAGTCGCTCTGATACAAAAATTGACAAGTCTCTGTAATATTAAATAAATAAATTTTTACCTAAATTAGTGTTTATTTACATATGTGCTACACTCGTTCAATAAGGTAAAGAATTATTTAACGGCAGTAGTTGATTAACTAATGTAGAAAATTGCATGACGACCTATGTTTATTGCGATAAATATTACCATGTGCCTCGGTGGTCGAATTGGTTGAGACGCCCGCCTAGAGTGTAGGGAGGTCCAGGTTCAAACCCTGGCTGAGGTATTATTTTTCGCAATGAATTTTTTTTTAATTAGAATTTGCCAGCCGTGGGTTGTCATGCAATTTTCTACATTCGTTCAATAAGGTTGTTGCTTTCAGTGCATCCTATTGTTTGTAAAACAGTACAGCATCGATGGTATTACCAAAGTGTTGATGATGATCATTTTGTCTAGTATATCTATACTAAACTATAACACAGGCCTCATACTCAGCGATAAGGTAAGAATTCACTTAGTTTTAATGCATTTAGAACTCCGTTGTTGTAAGAGTTTTTGGTAAAATATTTTAATTATTTTAAGACTTTTAATATTTTTAATCCACTTTAGTTTTTCTATTTCCTGATTTCGATAACATCATGTATTATGACATAATTATTCAATTATTAAAAACCATTGAAATTACATGATAATAATAAAAAGTACCTAATAGGACGTAAAACACCAAAAAAACAGAACAAAATATTTTATTTGTGGTAGATCAAATATATCTTCGATAGCGTTCGATACGATTGGAATATGTTAAAGACTCAGGCAGAATTGGAAGTGGTACAAAAATATGCAAACAATGCAAAATTTTATACGACTTTTCTTACACGTAAGATAAAATCGAATGTCAATTGTACGAATCAATTCCTTTTCCTAGTATATTACTTTTAGTTGAATGTTAATTCAACTTGTAAGCATCTCACATTATTTTCATATCATTAAAATATTCAAACGTTTTAAAAAAAATTATATAAAATATTTTAAAACATAACACCGTTAAATTGTTACCAATACAAATAAATTGATACCGGTTGTATAATTTTAAACTCTGTATTATTGCTTTTCATACCACGTTCAACACATGTCATCATTCACTGTCTTCAGTTATGAGTACTTTCTTTTCATTGGGAATTTTATTACTACTTGGTCTACCCCGTATACTTGATGTGATTATACCAATGAATGAATCGCGACCGCAACAAACACTAGTTGATATGGAATACCTCGGTGATAAAGAAACGTACTTTTTCGCTACCTTGACACATATTTGCTTAAACTTTTTTGCTGGAATGATGACAATGATGGCTATTGCAACAACACTAATAATAAACGTTTTGCACATTTGTGCTTTGTTTAGAATCGCCAGGTAAAAATATGAGCCTTAAATGTCACAAGCTTTGTTGATTTAATTAAAAAACTAACATAAGAACAAGTGTATTATCCGTACATCCGTATTTTTCTAGCTATCGAATGGAACACATATTTGACAAAAACGCACAACCAATAGCAAAGGACATTAAACAATCTGTAGTTTATAACAATATAATAAACGCCGTATATGTTCATCGTAGAGCTTTGGAGTTAGTATTAAAGTACAATATATTATTCTTTTGCACTCGTAACCTACTTTGCCTGAATGAAACCAAATTATTATCGCGATGTATTACAAATATTAATTTTTGTTCATAAAAGAAATAACTCATAAACGAAGTTAAAAACAGCAGAATTTAAAATGAACTGCCATTTTACTTACAATAAGATATGTCTAAAAATCGCCGCAAAAAGAGTTGAGCGCAAAGGCTTTAATATTATTGCAACGAATAAATAATAAATACATATTTTGCTGTTACAGTTTAGCCAATATTTGGACAAACAGTTTTTCAACAATGTATGTCGTGTTATTAGTACTTGTTGTGCCTGCTATGAGTCTCAGTTTCTTCAACGTAAGCCCAAATACACGTATTGCGGAAGGAATATCATTTATTCGAAAAGGGTTAATTATTATTGTGATATACAAATAATATAAAACTGCTCAAAAGATATGTAATTAAGAAATAATGTTCAATTCAAGTTTATTAATGCGGTAAGATCCCTGGAAATAGTGGAATTAATAGTGTGCGGTTGCTTGTTATTTGTACAATTATATTTGATTTTGTTGGAAAATTATATTGGACAGGACATTATAGATAGCAGCACTGGCATTTGTGAAGCGACGTAAGTAAACATATCGTCCGAATGTTACAATATGTTAATACAAATTACTGTCATTGATGTGAATAATTGCGAATACATAATTTTTTATCTCATTAAATATGACTTGTCAAACTAACTAAGAACTCAAATCAAGAGGTCTATTTGATTATTTAAAAATGTCATTTATTCAAATATGTATATTAATTCATATTAATTGTTATATTGCTATGTATATCTGTGTATGTATTAATAGATATAATGCACAGTGGTATGCTGCGCCATTATGTATGCAAAAGTTGATGATACTCATAATACAAAGAAGTAACAGAAGAAGTATTTTATTGGTTGGAGGTTTATTTGGCGCGTCGTTACAAGGTTTTAGTTCGGTAAGAAATTACAAGTAATTTAATTTTGACGAATCCCATAAGAGAAAGACATTTTTAATATTTATTATGTATAATATTTATAGCTCATGAGTATGTCTATATCCTACCTCATGGTCCTTCAATCCGTGGGATTATACAAAGAAGATGGAAAAAGTAATAGTTACGTTTAAAGAATCCGATTTACAGGTATAGGATGTGGTCAGTACATTCTACGTGTACTTCCTTATATATTCATTAATAAAATTAATTGAAATAAATAAATAAAATTAATGAATAAATAAAATGAATTTATAGACATAAGTTATGATAATATATTTGTCACTGCAACTGACAAGGGACAAGTCATTGTGGTTATGGACAGAATGGTTTATGTCGGGCAAATGAATGAACTACTGAATGGTACATCTACATACCGCAAACTAAAAAACAACCCCCATTAAACAATTAATGTCAAAAATAAATTTACTTATGAAATCTGGGCGGGATAATGATATAATTGATACACTCACTTACACGTGTTTGAACTGTACCAATGGGAATCTTTGTCGCTGTTCCGTACTTCCCAAGGTACATAAGAATGGGTTTCCGCTAAGTATTATAGTGCCTGCTTTGGAGGGGAAGCCCCCTCTATAATATAGCCAGATATCTGCACGACATTCTACACCTATCTGTCCAGAAGCCACGGTCACACATCAGAGACATCTGGTCATTGGTGACTACGGTCGAAAATATCTATGTTCCTCCTGGGAACCTGTGTATGTCTTTGGACGTCGCTTCACTTTTCACTACCCTCCATAAAGAACTGGTGTTTGGAGCAATTGAAAAACGCTGGCGTGATATTTCACCAAATACATTACTTAACTTACCACAGTTCCTACACGCTATCGAATTAATTCTAAATTCTACCAGTTTTGACGGACAATTCTACGAGCAGATTTTCAGAAGCCCTATAGGACCTCCTCTGTCACCGATTCTGGCTGACATGGTAATGGATGACTTAGAGGCAGACTGTCTACAGAAACTGAACTTTGACGTCCCCATTTATTACAGATACGTAGATGACATTTTCACTGTTTTACTCAAGACTAAGATTAGTTTTGTTCTTTCTATATTTAACAATTACCATCCACGGTTAAAATTCACTCACGAAATTGAATCACACAACTCTATTCCTTGACGTAATATTAATCAAAGACAACAATAAAATTTTGAAAATTGGTAACAAAAACCATCCTTTTCTGGACTACATATACGTGAACTACTTTTCCAGCCACCCTTTTAAATACAAAATTAACACTATTATTAATCTAGTTGATCACGTTATTTTACTTTCTGACAAAAAATTTTGGAAACAAAATATCGACAGAGTTAATCATCTCTTACAAGAGACTCGTATATACTTCTTTGCGTATAAGGACACGCTGTGTCACTGCGCGGCGTTCCGGTGCGAATTTACGCATGACTTACGCAGCCATAAGCGACAGACATACGTACGTGCGTGAGTACACCCCTACGTGCGTCACGCACAGTTTCACACACTTTCGCCGTACTCTATAAGCGTCTTTGACAATATTCCCCACGCGCATCGATATGTCTTTCAGCTGAAAGATGAAATTCTTCTAATTAGACGAATTGTTACACAACATCTATCACGAGACACGGTAGTGTCTCGCGCCAAGTATAAGCGACTAAGTATAAGCGACAAGCCTAACCATCGCGTTAACAGGAATAATAAAAGTACAACGTCTACCGACTGTAGAAGTAATGGAAATGTGCACTGCTGAACACACATTGGAAAGGTAATCAATATGTTTACTTCTTTATACACGCACAATGAAACATGTAATAATCTGCACTCTCCACAATTATGCAAAACGTTCGTTGCATTATTGCACTGTTATATCCAACTTTTTAAATTCATCAATACACATGAAATATGAAAAGTGTTGCTATTGTACGTATGTATGTATATTGTAAAGACGTTCTATGAACTACACTAGAACGGAGTCGACGCGTGTAATAATAAAGTAGTGAGCAGGTACAATAGTGATGGTTACCATAGTAATAAATGGGGGTACACCGGCACACAGGCACTAAGATGCACCACTTAGTAATTTTTCGACGAGAAAAATAACGGGCTAACAATAAGACCAGACCAGAATTCGAACCGGGGGACCTTCCGCTTACCGGGCGAATGCTCTACCAACTGAATTATCCAGGCTCACAGGTTATCCGTAAAGTTACCCGTAAAACATGGTGTTTGTCATAAAAACACATCTATTTCTAAGGAAAAAATATACGATGTATTTTGCTAATTTTGGTAATATCATTTTTATTGACTTATTCGTTTTATAGTCGAGGCGGGAGAAAATCGAGGAAACTTATTCTCTTTATTTACTACACACACCTATTTCCCCCTTGCCGGTGCTTTATGAATTTTTTACATCTGCTATTAATCCCACGGCAAACTGAACGTCACCTTTACAATTATCTTATGAGACTAAAAAAGAAAAATTCATCGTCTATCTAAATTCGATACATGGAGGGGGAAACACAGTTTTGTAGCGTTAGTCCTGACATACGCATTTTAGCTTTCGTGGAAGATGGACTTCGCTGGAGAACGGTATTATAATCTGAATAGAATTCTTCTGTTGTCTCTCGGTCTGTGGCCTGATCAGATTTCAACTTTCAAGAAAGTACAAAATATCTTTTACCAAACGTTATTCATATCCTTTCTAACATGCCAGGTATTAAATTTCTCATTTTACATGTATTTTATTTATTAAAATGAAATTTTATGACAAGTCTATCATATACAAAAATTGACAATTCCCTGTAATATTAAATGAATAAATGTTTACGTGAGTTAATGTTTGTTTACATTTTTGCTATAATCATTCTATAAGGTTACTGCTTTCAGTGCATTCCATTGTTTATAAAACAGTACAGCATCATATATATTTGTCAAATGTTGTCGCACATTGTTATTACTGGTATATTTATTCTAGTATACAATACATGTCTCTTACTCAGCGATAACGTAAGTGTTCACTTGGTTTTAACGTATTTGAAATTCTATTAATATAAGATTTTTTGTTGAAATAATATATTTTATCCATTTTAGTTTTTCTATTTCCCACTTTACTTAACATCGTATGACATAACTATCTAACATATTAAAAAATATTTAATTGAATACTATTAAAAAATTATTACAATTGCATGAAAATATAAAAAGTATCTCATAGGACATATAATTTCCAAAAATTGCCAAAATAAGATATTTTATTTGTGATCATAGATCAAATATATCTTCGATAGAGTTCGATACGATTGGAATATGTTACAAGCTCATGCAGAATTGGAAATTTTACGAAAATATGCAAACGAAGCAAAATTCCATACGGTCCTTGCTATTCGTAAGATATAAAATCAAATGTCAATTGTATCAATCCAGTCCTTTTCCTAGTATATTATTTTTATTTGAATGTTAAATCATTTTATAAGCATTACACATTATATTTATATCATTTAAATTCAAATGTTTTAGAAAGCATATGTCAAATTTTTAACAATAACATCTTTAGATAAATGTCAAAACAATTAAATTAATATCTGTGGTATTGTGTTCTCTGAATTTCTTGTACTTTTTAACAAAATATAAAATATATTGCATTTTATACTACGTCCACTACATGTTCACAGTATCATAATTTTGTTGCTTCAGTTGTGTGTACTAGCATTGGATTGGGATTACTTATAATATGTTGGTTCCCTCGTATACTTGATGTGTTTCCACCAATGAATGCATCGCGACCGCGACAAATTTTAATTAATCTGGAATACTTTGTCGATGAAGAAACATACTTTTTCGCTATTTTGATGCATATGGTCTTAACTATTTATGCTGGATGCATGACAGTAGTAGCTATTGCAACAGTATTTCTAATATTCATTTCGCACATTTGCGCTTTGTTTAAAATCGCCAGGTAAAAGAAGAAATAAATAAATAATTAAATATCTCTATCAATTACAATAAGTCAAGGTCAAAAGAGTCAAAGTAAATAAATTAAAAGAAGTTTGCTAAAACAATATATTTAACATTGCATAAAATCATAGAAACGCTGATATCTTTAAAATAACAGATTTAAAATGAGAATAGATAAAAGGCGAATGTTTTGAACAATTTCTTTGTTCTTCTTCAGCGCGATAAATAAAAAAGATCTAGCATGAAGTAATTAATGACATTATGAGTTAAAATAATTAAAGACATAAAAACATATAAAACGTTAAAAGACGTTATATGTTTAGATGAAAAACATATAAAATAATTAAAGACATGAAAACATATTAAACGTATTAGAGTTGTATGTTTTAAAACGGAGGCTAGTCAGTGTAATTAACAAAATTACAATAGAATAGAAGATATAAAATAAAAATTAAAAATGTAAGGTGGCAGCAGAGATGATACTGGTGTTTTGACATCTTAGAAACGTAGAACGGTTAAATAAATGGTGAGAAAAATATGACGATATGTTGAGTTTAAAAAAAATTGAGTATGTATAAACGTGAGAAAGAGGGGAAAAGCTTGTCTCATTTATTCTCGTTTTAAATATGCTATTGAATATGTCGTCGTTTCTACTGTTTCATGCGATCATTTCATTAATTTACTTTGACTCTCTTGGACTCGACTTACTGTAACTTTTATATTTGGAGTAGCTTGTATTGTACGCACGCACCCACAAACTTTATTGATTTATTTAAAAACCTAATATAAAAACACGTTTAGTATTCATGCATCCATATTTTCATAGCTATAACATGGAACACATATTTGACAAAAATGTACAATTAATGCCAAAGGACATTAAACAGTCTATACTTTATAACAATTTAATTCACGCTGTATATGTTCATCGTAGAGCTATGGAGTTAGTATTAAATTATATTATTCCTTTGCATTCATAACCTACTTTGCCAGGACAAGACAAAATAAATGTCTCGACATATTAGTGTACAAATATAGATTTGTGTTCATATAACAGTTGTTTCATGAACAAAGCTAAAAACAGCAGTATTTAATAAACTGCCATTTTTTTTTAATTAAATGTGTCTGAAAATCCTTGCAAAAAAGGCTGAGCGCAAAGGCCTAAATGTTATCGTTACTAATAAAAACTAAATACATATTTTGATGTTAAAGTTCTGCCAATTTTCTCACGAACAGTTTTTCGTTATTCTATATCGTGCTATTAGTATTTAGTGTGGCTTCGATGAGTCTCAGTTTCTACAATGTAAGCGTAAATGCAAAAAAACAGAATATTATATCAAGTATTCGAAAAAAGTTAATTATTATGATGATATACAAATATTAAACTACAGAAGAGTTATAAAATTAATAAATAATGTTTGATTCAAGGTACTTAATGCAGTAACATCCTTGGTAAAAGTAGATTTATTTATGAACAGTTCAATGATATTAGCACAATTATATTGTATTTTTATGGGAAATTATGCTGGACAGAACATTATAGATAGCAGCAGTGGCATTTCTCAAGCGACGTAAGTAAACATATTTTACAAATTGTATAATATTTTAAATATATTTATTGTACAATATAATTCGTAATTCTGTAATAATTCCGTAATATGTAATTAATGTGCATAATCGTCAGTACATAATTTTGTATCTCATTAAATATTACTTGTAAAACATACAAAGAATATAAGTCAAGAGGTTTAATTGATAATTTAATAATATCATTTAATAAAATATATTAATTTGTATTAATTGCTGTATATGTATATTTGTGTATATAATAGATATAATGCACAGTGGTACGCTGCGCCGTTATGTATGCAAAAATTAATACTACTCATAATACAAAAAAGTAACAAACATAGTGCGTTAACAATTGGAGTTTTATTTAACGTGTCATTAGAAGGTTTTGCTAAGGTAAGGAATATTGCGGGTAATTTAATTTTCATGAATCCCACGAGAGAAAAAGATCTCAAATATTTATTACTTATAATATTTATAGGTTCTAAGTACGTGCATTTCCTATGTTATGGTTTTTCAATCCGTGGAAACAAACAAAGAAAGCGGAAAGAAGTAACAATTACGTTTTAGTTATCCGAGTCGTAGGTCTAGGATATGTACAGTACATTTTACATGTACTTTTCTACATATTCATTAATAAAATAAATTAAAATAAATAATAGTGCAATGCATTTCTTTGTGTTTTTGAAATTATTGCTATTGTATCACAGATTCAGACACATTTTTGGATCACTTTTTATCTTGCTTTTCTATTATCAACAATAATATCTGTCCAATGTAATTTCCCTTTTTCGGTGCAGATATTAAATATAATTTACTTTTTAATTGTTTTTTAATATAACATAATAAGATGAATCACGAAATATACAATACATAAAACTTAATGTCGCCTTCATAATTCAACACTTCAACAGCCTGAGTGCAAATAAAGGCTCACTGGCGAACCTCGAAGAAAACACAACGAGGCAACCGAGTGGGAAGAGGATATCTCAGAAGAGGAAGAACTACCTCCTAAGAAATAGAGGCCAATCCGGTCACTCTAACCAAACCTCACATTTTTTATAGAGAGCGAAAGATCCACTAACATTTTTGCGAAGCACTTGCGGACACTATAAATTAATCAAAAAAAATTCTAAACTGGCAAAAATAAATCGTTTCAAAAGTTTCGGCGACTTCGTTTCGCGCGAACTTGCGGAACCAGAGATCTCACAAATTGTTGATCACGACGTGACATAAATACGCAGCCTTGGGGTCTATCATCTCTTATAAGAGACTCGTATATACTGCTTTGAGACGCGCAACTGCGCGGCGTGCGGGTGCGAATTTACGCATGAATTGCGTAGCCATAAGCGACAGATATACGTACGCATGTGAGTACACCACACCCCTACGTGCGTCACGCACAGTTTCCCACACTTTCGCCGTACTCTGGAAGCGCATTTGACAATATTCCACACGCGCATCGATATTTCTTTCAGATGAATACTGAAGTTTCTCCTATAATTATTAGACAAATCGTTACACAACTATCATCGCGTTAGCAGAAATAATAAAAGTGGAACGTCTACTGACTGTAGGAGTAATGGAACGGTGCATTGTGGAACATACATTAGCAAGGCATTATGAAATGGAGAGGTAATCAATATGTACCTTCCTTCTTTATACATGAACAATGAAACATGTAATAATCCGTATTTTTCACCCCTGCTGCAAAACGTTTGTTAAATTATTGCACTGTTACATCCAACTTTTTAAATTCATTAATAGACACGAATATGAAAGTTGTTGCTACTGTACGTATGTACGTATATTGTAAAAGCCTTGCATGACACTAGAACGAGAAGTCGACGCGAATAATAATAAAGTGGTGAGTACATAAAATAGTGATGGTTACCATAGTAATAAATGGGGGCGTATACCTTCGGGGCGGTAGGCACTAAGACGCACCGCTTAGTAATTTTTCGTCGAGAAAAATAACGGGCTAACAATAAGACTAGACGGGAATTCAAACCAGGGACCTTCCGCTTGCCGGGGGAATGCTCTGCTAACTGAATTATCCTGGCTTAAGTTATCCGTAAAGTTACCCGTAGAACTTATAGTCTTCGACATAAAGACAAAACTACTTCTAAAGAAAAAGTATACGATGTATTTCGCTAATTTTGATAATATCACTTTTATTGACTTATACATTTTACGGTCGAGTAAGCGGGAGAAAATCGAGGAAAATTATTCTCTCTATTTACTACGTACACCTATTCCCTCCTTCTAACACCTGCTACTTACTCCACAGTAAATTAAACGTCATCTTTACAATTATCTTATGAGTTTAAGAAAGAAAAATTCATCGTCTACCTAAACTCGATACATGGAGGGGGAAACACAGTTTTGTAGCGTTATTCCTGACATACGCATTTTAGCTTTCGTGCAAGATGGACTTTGCTGGAGAACGGTATTATAAGCTGAATAAAATTCTTCTGCTGTCTCTCGGTCTGTGGCCTTATCAAATTTCAACTTTCAAGAAAGTACAAAACATCTTTTTCCAAACGTTATCCATATCCTTCGTAACATGTCAGGTATTATATTTCTTATTCTACATGTATTTTATTATTAATATATTAAATAAATGTTTATAATGGGGGTTGAGTAAGTCGACACAACTGGCAGCAGGAAAACCTCCTTTATTAGCACAACGTTTCGGCCATGGGTTTTGGCCCTTATCAAGTGCAATCAGACAAATTCAATCAGTGCGTAGCAAGTGGTTAAATGCCATTAGGCACCAATTAGAATTAATTTTAAGCAAAGTTTGTGTCTCTCTAGACATTCGTCATCCTTGTAGCGGCGCAGAAATGGGACTGGGTCCCAGTCGACTTACTCAACCCCCATTTTAATAATTGGCGGAGTAATATTATACTTTTGGATAAATGTTTATGTCAAGTCGCTCTGATACAAAAATTGACAAGTCTCTATAATATTAAATGAATAAATTCGTATGTAAATTAGTTTTAATTTACATATTTGTTATACTCGTTCAATAACGTTACTTCTTTCAGTTTATCCCGTTTTTTGTAAGACAGTACAGCATCGGTACTTTTACCAAAATGTTGATGTCAATCATTCTTACTTGTATATTTATTGTAAAATATAACGCAGGCATTCTACTCAGCGATAAGGTAAGTATTCACTTGGTTTTAACGCATTTGGAATTCTGTTGTAAGAGATTTTGTTGAAATATTTTAATTATTTTAATACTTTTAGCGTTTTATTAATTTAATATTTTTAATCCATATTAGTTTTTCTATTTCCTGATTTAAATAACAAGATATGTTATGTCATAATTATTCAATATATTTAAAAAACCATTAAATTGCAAGAGAATAAGAAAAGTATCTAATAGAACGTACAACACAAAAAAAACTTACACAATAAAATATTTTATTTGTGGTAGATCAAATATATCTTCGATAGGGTTCGATACGATTGGAATATGTTAAAGACTCAGGCAGAATTGGAAGTGATACAAAAATATGCAAACAATGCAAAATTCCATACGATCTTTCTTATACGTAAGATATAAAATCAAACGTCAATTGTATCAATCAAGTGCTCTTCCAAGTATATTATTTTTATTTAAATGTTAATTTATTTTATAATCATTAGACGTTACATTTATATTTAAATTTAAATGTTTTAAAAAGTAATATAAATTATTTTAAAACATAATAGCTTTATATTGATGCCAATACAAATAAATTAATACTGGTTGTATAAGTTTAATCTCGGTATTATTTGTATTTCTTTAGTAAAATATGACAAATGTGTATTACCGCTTTTCATACCACGTTCAATATATGTCATGATTCACTTGCTTTAGTTACGAGTACATGTTTTTCATTGGGATTAGTCTTAATAATTTGGGTACCCCATATGCTTGATGTGATTATACCAATGAATGAATCGCGACGGCAACAAACAATAGTTGATGTGGAATACTTTGTTGATGAGGAAACGTATTTTTACGCTATTTTGACACACATTTTCTTCACTGTTTATGCTGGAACCATCACAGTAATGGCTATTGCAACAATACTAATAGCATACGTTTTGCACATTTGCGCTTTGTTTAGAATCTCCAGGTAAAAATATGAGCCTTAAATATCACAAGCTTTATTAATTTATTTATAAAAGCTAATATAAGGACAAGTTAAAGATCTATACATCCGTATTTTTATAGTTATCGAATGGAACACATATTTGACAAAAACCTACAGCCAATGCCAAAGGACATTAAACAATCTACATTTTATAACAATATAATAAACGCTGTATTTGTTCATCGTAGAGCTTTGGAGTTAGTATTGAAGTATATTATTCCTTTGCACTCGTAACTTACTTTGCCTGAATGAAACCAAATTATTATCGCTATACAGGGTGTCAGATTCGATATGGACGACCCCCAAGATTATAGTCGATTGGGTTAAACTGAGAAGAAAAGTTATATAAAATTTTACAACATCGTAATTATTATCGCCTAATTCAGAAAAACGTCTGAGCCAATACGGCTGGACTAGGCAGCATGCAACATGGTGTGTTTGTTGACATCTCTCACAAATCGCAGGCGAGAGTGGGAGTCACGCATCGATCGATGGGAGACGGTGGCGAGCGGGGAGCGGGGAGCGGTGAGCGGGCGAACGCGTTCGCTATCGTTTTTTGAGAGA